ATTCCTGGTGGGGGGAATCCATCTCCAACAGCCACCCCGAGCTGTCCTAGCCCCAGATCCTGGGAAGAAACTTCCCCAAGGGAAGGCAGCATGGGAGTGGGCACTGACTGCAGCACCCACTGGCTGTGCCCAATTGTCACCCACCCAGGGAGGTGACTGTCACCTCTGGGAAGCCCAGCCTAGGAGGGACTGTGAGCACTGCAGGGGCCCTGAGAATGAGACACTGAGACAGGGAAAGCCACAAAAACACCTTGTGGGCAGAGGCAGTGGGTGGCAGTGCCCAGGGAGGTGGCTGTGGAGGGCAGGGAGCCCAGGGGACGTGGGTCCTGGTTGTTCTCTCCCTACAGCCCCACACTCCATGTCCCACCAAGCCCCTGCTCTGAGCCTCTGCAGTCTGTACACAGGAGAGATGAGGAGAGGGGTCTTGGCCATGGAATCCTGTGCACGGACATAAGAACCCCTGGCAGGCCCTTGAAACAGACATGGCTCCTGCTCTGGAACAAACCTCCACCCAGAGGTGACGTCCCGACCCTCAGAGCTGAGTTTGCTGTCCTTCCTGTGTGTTCTTCACACAGCACTTGGGCACAACTGGCTCCAGGTTCAGCTTGGATGACCCTCCCAACCCTTTCCTCTCCTAGTCCCACCTAACTGCTGCAAACAGGAGGGAATCTGCTGCAAGGAGCTCACATTGAGACACTGAAACCTGGGTTCTCCATCTCCAGCTCTCCTAACGTGCAGGAGGAGGAAGCTGGCAAGTCCTAGAGCTACCAACACCACCACGACCCAGGCAGGGAACAGCAGGGGGCTGTCAGACACCCCTCACCTTCATGTTGACCTCCTCAGCTTTCTGCAACTCAAACGCCTGTTTGGATACTGCTATTTTGGTATCTGCCATGAACTTGACATCCAGCATTTCCTTCTTGCACTCTGCCTCCTGCAGAGAGGAAACAGAGAGCAGAGTTCCAGGGTTTGCTGCTGGAGCAAAACATGCAGATCTGGGGAAGCCCAGCAGGTCTCTGGCCTCACCCGGACGCCGACGTCTCGCTTGGCTTCTGCCACCCCAGTGTCTGCATCCCTCGGGACAGCTGCAGTCTGGGTCTTCCCCAGGGAGCTCAGGTAATCCACTTTATCACTGACATCCTGGAGAGGGGAAGATAAGACATAACTGCTTCCAACAAGCCACTCCATCTTGCTCCCTTCCACTTGAAGCTCAGAGCGACTACTTGTGTGGCTAAGCCAGGGTCAGACCCAGCCAGGCCAGCAGGCATGGCTGGGAGAGGCAGGCTCTCCTGACATCCTCTGGCTGGCTCCTTGGAGGATCAGTTCTCAGGAGCTCTCTCCAGGAGCTGTGTTTATGGAGCCAGCTGAGTGCTCTTTGCCCAGCTGCCTGGACACAGGACATGCTGCAGTGACTCATGGAAACTCCCGGCTGGGACGGGCTGTCAGCTGGAGCCTTCCAGATGCCCGTGGCTGAGGAGCCAGGGCCAGGCTCTGCTGTGCTGGCCCTGCAGAGCCCTGTGTCTGGGCTCACCCTGATGGTGAAGCTCAGGATCTTGATGCCCATGCAACCCACATCGGGAGCTGCCACCTCCCACACCAGCTTGGCAAACTGGTCCCTGTCCTGGTAAATCTGCTCTACTGTCAGGGTACCTGCACAGGGAAGGAAGGTGAAGCACTTTATTTGGAACAGGTAAGACACAATGATGTGGGTCTAACCTCAGCAACATCCTTCTTGCCCCTGATCCCTCCAGGTCTGGGCACAACCCTCTGCCCGGGCCCTGCAGTTGCACTGACATCTCAGTCTCACAGGCACCACCACCACACACACCTGTAACCCACGGGGACTCCAACATCTCTTACTGCAGGCACTGAAACCTCCCTTATCACAGCACAGCAGGACCTGCTGCAGGGGAGGAACAATCTAAGATGCCACCTCTGCAGAGGAATCGCCTTCTGGGGCTGCTGCAGTGGCAACGATCCTGCTGGGACCAGCCAGCAGAGGAGGGAGAAAGCTGCCCAAGATGCCTTCAGCAGCCTGAGCCTCTCTGCACCTAGGATGGAGCGCAGATGCCTCTCCAGTGTCTGAAGGACACTTCACATCTTGCACGTTCTTCCCCAAGAACTGCTCGCAGGCCACAGCCAGAAGCTCCTTCTCAGTCATTATCTTCACCTAGAGAGACAGGAGACAAAACCAAAGGGACTGAAGGGGCCTATCCAAAGAGGAACAGGCACCCAACAGCAGCAACAGCACCACCAGGCTGCCAGCCCCCCCATGCTACCAGTGCTCCAAAGGTCCAAGCTGAGCTGTCAACACACTGAGCCAGGCCACCAGACCAGGTGGTGACCCCCTGCTCCCTGCTGCTGGGACAGCCCAGCTGCAGCAGCACCCAGGGCAGCCCCTCTGCAGCCCCTGGTGCAGCTCAGCCTGCAGAGGGGCTCCCTGCAGCCATTGATCCCACAAAACCAGCCACTAGGGGATGTGGGGACAGAACCTGGCCCTACAAGTCCCACTTGATGAAAGCTTTACCAAAGAGCCCTAAACTACCAATTCAGCCACTGCACCAACACCAGACCTAGGAGGAGAGGGCTTTCTATTACTGCTATTTCTATTACTACTATTACTGGCCAAAAGCCATTTCATTGCCTTCCTCTTCCTCCTCCTTCACTAGAATTAATTTTTCTGACATGGGAAAAAGCAGAGAACAAGAAAGAGTCCAACATGCCCAAGGAGCAGTTTGGGAACACGGGCTCTATTCAGCATTCCCTGTGAGGAGAGATGAGACAAGATGGCTGTAGCATACTGGTTTGTCCTTTCCTGGTTGGGAGCTCCCAGACACCCTTCATGGTGACCCCAAAGTGTTGTGGCCAGGATCTGGTTGTCTTGCTCTGCATGGTCAGTCTAGTGATGAGCCCCAGAGGTGGGACACAACTGCCCCAGGGCTGCTCTCACCTCCCACAGTCAGGGCCAGATGTAAAAGGATCCCCAGGCCCAGACAAGCCAGGTCTTAAAGATGGTCTTGCTGCCCATGGGCTGCTTTCTAAAGGCAAAGTGGGGTAAAAATCCCTCTGGGTATTGTAGGCAGTGGAGATGGGGCTCTGCAGGGCTCAGCTATTAAGAACTACAACCCACCAAGGTTACAGTGTCTGGTGGCCACTTCCAGTCTGAAGGCAAAGCCTGGACAAAGGGACTTCTGTATGTCTGGTAGCACCAGAGAAGGCAGTAGGGTCATACCAGCACCTCTGGGTGCTGAGCAGGTCCCACAGCACCCTCTCATGGAGACATCTGGGCTGGGCACTGCCTCCTGTTTCATGAGATGCTGGTGGCATCCTGTGTCCTGCCCCATCCTGGCTGGTCCTAGCTAAGGTCTCCAAAGCTTCAGGTGCTGCACAGGGGCCTTTGAGGGCCCCAGTGCACATTCCTGATGGGTCCACAGCCTACAGACCTCATCCTGACACCTACCAGACTGCTTTTCAGGGTTGAACTGCTGGCAAAAGCAACACAATCAGTTCTTGAGAAAGCCTGGTCTGACAGCCCAGGAGTCTAAAATGATCCTGCAACTCAATAGCAGCACCCAGCCCCAGCATTGCCAGAGAGCAGGACACCTGTGACCAGCCACCACCCTTTAAGGAGATCAGAGGTGGACCACGTTACAAGCAGTGAGCTGACCAAGACTCTGCTGCCACAACCCTATTCCTAGTGATAGGAAGAAACACCAGCCTGGGCTATTTCCTACCTCTGCTATTCAGGTTGGGCCTCCCAGTCAAAACCCCAAACTGAGCCTGGGGCAAACGTGGGAATCCTCTTCTGCTTTCACCCCAAGGCCTCTGGGCTCCTTCCAGGCCAGGCCACTGTGGTTTCCTGTCCCTGCAGCCCTGGCCAGCACTGTGCACTTCCTACACAAGGGGGAGTTGGGAGAGCTGCTCACGTACAGGGAGAGGGCACAGGGCTCATCTCAGCAAACGGGAGGTTTTTTTGCAAATACCAAACTCAATTATCCTCAGCAGCAACGTTTGAGGTGTCCATTTGCCAGCAGTTCCACCTCTCCAAACAATCCCCACCCTTCAGGAGTTATGGAGAGGAGGGACAGGCCACGGAGGGGGATGTTTGCTAAGAGAGTCCCTGTGGCACTTAACAGAAGCAAGGGAGGATTCAGGCTCTGAATAAAGCCTGGAGACCCCAGGGGAGCCTGGCTCTCTGCTCCCTGGGGATGTCAACCTACAAAGCAAGGGCTGCACAAACCCACAGAGAGCTGAGCAATTTGCTCTCAGCTTGTTTCCAGTGTTTCAGACAGGACACAGTGACACTTGGTGCATCTTCAAAACGTCATTGGCATCAGAGAGAGAGCTGAGCTGGCAGGGAATCAGAGCTGCTACAAAACAATCCCAGCTGGAGGATGGATCCTGCTGCACCCAGCCCCAGCCAGCTGCAGGCACAGCCAGGGCTGAGCATGGACAATCCAATTAGCTCCAGGCTTTGAAAAATGCTGTGGAAGGATCCAAAGCCCAGCATGGCCCAAGGCAGCAGCATCCCAGCACACCCCAAGCACTCAGCCAACACAGCAAGGAAGCTCCTGGTGAGCACTCATGACATCCCTCTTCAAAAAAATGCATCTTCCTGCACTTTTTATTACAATGGCAAACATTTTTAAAAGGTGTTTCGCTGGTGATCAAGTGCTTATCTAGCTCTTTTCCTTTTCTTGCACATTTTCCCTTCAAAGGAAAATGTTTGCCTCAGAAGTGCTTCTCCAAACTTAAGTTAAGCTCTGCCATGTGCATCCCCTGCTGCCTCAAACCTGCCTTCTCTGCATGGCAATTCCTTGCATCTCACAACCCTAAACCTTTAAAATTAATGGATAGTGGGGAAAAAATGAACAGTGAGAAGAGAGAATAACATGACCAAGGTGAACTGGGAGCTGCATTTTCTAAATCCAAGCACCTGGTGATCCAGCCTTCTGCTAACATGCACCACCCAGCCTGGACTGTTCTGTAGGCAATGGAAGGATGACCCAAAACTGGGACAAAAAGGAATGCTGGCTTCATAGAAATACCTTTTCTAAAGAGAGAAGGAAAAGCCTATGGATTTATGAAATGTCCATGCATTTTGCCAACCATGCCAAGGCCACCATGGGACAGACGAACAGCTAAATGGATAAAAAGAACTGAAAAATTGAACCCAAAGATACTGGTTCACCAGGATGAGCCCAAGGAGCTGGCTCCCATGCTGGTGCTCTGGCATGTAGCCACGTTCCACAACAGCAGCAAGGCCATGGATTACCTGCTGTTAAGTCACCATCCTGCCCAGCCCTTCTGCCATGTGTGACAATCCAGAAACTGCTCCTGGCAGAATCTGTGCCCCCAGCTGTGCTCAGACACAGCAGGTGGCTCCTCTGCAACATCAGGCCAGAGCAAAGTACAAACCAAGGGAGGGACCTGCTGCTGGGGGGGAGATCTGCCAAGTGCGGGTCTTTTGAGACCTAACAGCAGCCATGGTGCTCCTCCCTGGGCTTTGACACACATGGGGCTTTGGTCACCTCACTGTGTCACTCAGCTGCTGCCCCTGGCCCTGCTGCTCCCCACAGGGACATGGGCCTCTCCTGCAATAACAGACCTGGAGGTGCCTTGGACACATGGTGGCCACAGCCTCTTGTGCACCCTGAGAGTCACCATCTCAGTTCCACACACCCAGAATGAGCTGCCAGGAGGAATTTTCAATCAAAGCATCCAGCTGCCTGGTCAGGGAGACAAACTCAGACAAAAGACAGCAACATTTTCTTCCCAGCACCCTCCCCAAGGCAGGACCTGGTCACAAGGGCAGACTGTGGATCAGGGCAGCAGAGCTGGGAGGTGTCTCAGTATGCTACCTACCACATGCAGCAAGAGCTGGTTCTCACCTATGAAGGAGGCTCAAGAGAAGCAAAACTCATTTCAAGCCAGGAATTTGACACACAGATTTTAGTGCCTGGAGGGACCAAGTTCTTTCTTCAAGTTTAAACTCACCATGAAGAATTACAAGATCCACTTGCTAATAATAATAATAATAATAATAATCCAAAGCAACATAATGTTTGGTATGATCTCAGGAGTGAACAGCTCAGTCCCAGAGGGCCACACACAGCTCCAAGGGCACCACGGTACATCAGTATTTCCCAAACAGATCAGGTCACCCCCACACACACCTCATTTGCCACGTGGACAAATGAGGGACCAGAAAAAGAGGAAGGATTCTGGGGAAAGGAGAGGTCACAACCCCCTTCACAACACAGGACATGCTGTAGCATGTCTGAACCAACAGGGCCATTGTGGGTTTATACAATAATTTATTTCAGAGCAGTTGGCTTCTGTTCTGGACAACAGCAACCTCTTCAGGGGGAAAACCAGATGTAAGTTAGAGACACGCATTCCTGAAACGATGTTTTGGAGTTACTGTACCTGTGCCACACCTGTGACAGTTAAAGCTCCCCCCTCAGCCGTCTCTACGTCCTCACACCTGGGCTGTCACGTCATGATCTCTAGGGAAATCCTGCCAAAAAACGTAAAATATTTGCACGTTTCCAGGTAACACACACTCAGCTCTTCCCCTCACATCTCCTGCCCCGGGCTACCTGCTGCACTCATCACAGGTAATGTGAGACAGGAAGAGGACACAGCCAAGGGGCTGCAGCTGTGACCACAGACAGACCAGACACTTGGGCCAAGGAAAAGATTTTCAGATCGTGTTTAAAAACAATTTATCATCAGAGAAAGGCTGGGAGATGGAAATGACACCGTGAGCCTTTCCTTCTGCTGGGCTAGTGAGGTGGCCAGCAGTTGGCAGCTTTGGGAGCCCAAAGGGTGTTCTGTCAGAGGCTCATTGTGCCACACTGCCCAACGCTGGGGTCACTGGTTTAAAAGCACAGCATGGACCTGGGCTGCTCCTGCCCACCCTGGCAGGAGCCCTGGTGCTTGGCAAAACCTGGCACTGATGCTGCAAGAAGCAGCCCTGCCTTTGCCCTCACCAGGTCAGCATTAACACAGACTCATCTCCTGACTGGGTTCACCTCTCTCTCTATTTTTCTTGTGTCCCATGACCCAAAGGCAGAGGGAAGATCTTCAGGGCCATGCCTGTGTCAGGCACCCAGGAACAGATCCTGCAGCTTCACAGTTTTATCACTCACCCAGTGCGGGCTCCAGGTACTTGGGCCAGACAGGGCAATCTTGCAGGTCATGATTTGTCACAAGAGACATGCTTTGCCATGGCAGGTTCTGCTTCAGGAAGCAAAGCCTGGCCCTTGTGTCACCCACAACAAGCCAGGAAGGCGTTGGGAGTCAGGACAGAGAGCCAGGGGGCAGGGAGCTTGTGTCAGCAAACATTAGATGAAACATTTGAACCATGAAGGGGCTGCCCTGGGCTGCTGCCTGCACGCTGAGTTGCCCCAGGTTTGGCTGGAGGTGCTGAAATCAATCTCTGCAAGTTCATGCCTGCCTTGGCCACTGTCCTAATTAAACTGGCACGCAAACTGGGAGCTGATAAAACTGATCCCACTGACCAGGAAGCACAGAGGCATTTTTTTGCCATATGGGCTCACAGCTTTAATCAGCTAGTGCAGGATTTTAGCCTTCTAAAGACCTAATCTATACTTTGAATTTAATTTCAATGCTGTGCTGCTTCTTAGTCAGCAAGTCACAGGGAAGCCTGGCAATTAGTGTCACATCAGGTCACAGCTGCTCACAGGGCAAACACTAGTCCTGCATGCTGCAACCCAGCCAGGGTCTCTATGCTGTACTTTCAAACGTGACAACATCCAAAACAGGCACTTGTCTCCATGTGGAGGAGAAAAGGGTTGAGTGGAAACCTATATCCAAAACTGCAGAGCCAGGTACAGTTGCAGTTTCTCCCTAGAGACACTGGTTTCCTTTTGAAACAGCACAAAACCTGCCCTGAATCCTGGGCAGAAGCCCCTCTGGCCCACTTGTGGCTCCACACAAAAGCTGCTGCTCTTCTGCTCTCCACCAAGCACACAGTGGGAAGTGCTGCTCAGGAAAGGGTTACAGCTGGAGCAAATGTCTGCAGTTTTATGGGAAGGAATTTGGAATTTGCTAAGTGTGCATCTGTCTCCATTACCTACAAACTGTGCAGTGTGCCCCAGGCAGGTGCCCCAGAAGGGGAAGGAGAGGAGGGTACTGAGATGTCAGCTGTCCCATTAGAAAGCCATTAGTTTTTATGTTATCCTGCTGCTGCTGCTGTTGATGCTGCTGCTGCTGTTGCTACTGCTGCTGCTCCAGAGGGATAAAGAGTTAGACAGGAGGTTAGGAAGCTGGTGGGTTATTACCTGTGCAACCCCTGTTACATCTACTGGGACCCTCTCCGATGTCTCAATATTCTCACAGTGACAGAGGATGGTCACAACATCCAAAGACAGTCTGAGCAGGAGGAATAAGGGTGGGACAGCAAATACACAAAGCAGTTATCAGAGAGAAAGACACTCATTGTAAAGGACAGACCAGACTTTCAGGTTTCAGCTTTTCCCTGGTCAGTTTGCCTTTCTCCCCCTGCCTGCTCCCAGGGCTGGGGCAGAGCAGCCTCCCTGCTCAGGGCAGGCAGTTGATAGATTCTACTTGCTCTTTGAATCAGGATAAACAGGCTGGGGACTTGTCTCCACCCTGCATCCCATAAGTCACTGTAGATAAAACTGGACCATGCATCCCACCTGGGCTGTCATCCTGGCGTAAGTTGGAATTCTCTGTTGGAGCCATCTTCACACACAGACAATTCCTTTCTGTAGCAATTTAGATGTTTCTATGCAAACATTTAAGAGGAGACACGGAAATTAAAATGATGGGGACCTGGTTAAGGTGAGAAGATGCTTCCAGGTGCTGAGTAATAATCACTCAGTTCCCCCAGAGCACACAATACTGAGCTGCCTCTCTCACTGCTTTTGTTTCTGACCTTTAAAAAGGGACAGGATTCTTTTTTTTCTTTTCTTTTTTCCCCCAGTCCTCAAGGTTACAGCAGGGTAAGAGCCCAGCTCCCTGCCAGCTCTAACTGTTCCTTTTGTTCCCAGGTTAGTGCTACCTGGTGGGATGCCACTGACAGCAACACAATTGCTGCTGTCTCTCTAGCTTTCAGCACTGGCAGTTCCAGACAAGATGTCCTAATTTCAGGGGAGGAAATCTACCTTACTCTCCATGTGAATGCAGCAGGCTCTGTCTGGGGCACAGCTTCTGGTGTTTGGGAAAGGCTCTGCTTTCAAAAGGAGAACTAAGCCCCATATTCCTTGGCATGAAGCAGGAGTAGAGATTTTCAAGTAGAAGATTTGTTTGGGTGCTGGCACTCCTGTTTAGAGCCCCATTTGCTAAATAATGCACAGACCTCTATCCTATGACAGCTCATTCCTGGCAAGCAGCTCCTGGCCCTGGGCTTAGCCTTTGCTGGACTTGCTAGGGCAGTGTTCCAAATACATCTGCTATCTCCTGCACATGGCAGGTCAAGGTTGTGCTCTGTTTTCTGGACTTCTCACACAAAAAGAGGAGGGAGGAGCAGAAACCATTTGTTCAAACCAGCAGTTCTCCCAACAAGAATGAATTTTGTATGGATCAAATGCAGCCCTGGGGCACTGAGCCCACAAGCTGGACCTTCCCTTCCCCTCCCACCAGCACTGGAGAGCCCAGAAAGATGTTAGCTGAGACCTCTTCATGCAGCCAGAGCACTCTGGGAGGCTCTTGTAGCTATCCTGGCTACCAGCCACCTGAGAGCTGCCATGACTCAGTTGCCAGCAGAAGCCAGGACCCCTTGGAACAAGCTGTGTGACCCCCAGGTGGCAGCAGCTATGGTGGTGTCATCTGCAGAGCAAGGGCAGCACATGCTCACTCTGTCTGCTGGTGGCAAACTGTGAACTGGGGAAAAGAGGTGGCAAGACCTGGCAGTGAGGGTTAACTACAACTTCTGGCCATCACTTGGTGCAAAAACCCAAAGGTCACATCTTTGGCTTTTTTCCCTTATTATTTCTTACACAGAGGGAGGAAACCTGCATTGGTAAGCATGGGGGAGGTGCTAGGAGAGAGTAACATTCCCACATATCCTGGAGATGAAATGCTACAGTAGCAGGACAGCAGCACTGTCAGTGTGTTAGTTCACAGAGCAGCAGGGTAGGAAGCAGTGAGCAAAACCCACAGCTGAGGAAAGGGAGAGAAAGGAAATCCCATTATTTCACTAGGAATGCAGTCTGCTCCCAAGGTGGCAACAGCCAGCAGATCTTTAGGAAAAGAGACTTGAGGAGCAGGAGGGGGCACTGGCCCATCACATGCCACAAACCTGTTTGTTACTGGTGAGGGTTTGGGTCATACTGGGCAGAACTCAGCTCCTCCTGTGAACTGAGGGATCAGCCAGCCTGGTGGCCCTGCTGCCCAGCACCTCTGCCAGAGCCTGGGAGCACTGCCAAAGCAGCAGAGGAGAGCAGGGCTCCTGCCTTCCTCAGCACCCACAGCACCAGCACAGGAAGAAACACTGACCAGCCAGGCTGCAGCCCTCTCAGCTCAGTGGACAAATAAAAAAAAAAACCAACAACAAATTTTAAAAAATAAAATCTGACTTCCTTGGGTTGGAGGAGAGGTGTAGACAGGGAGGCCACACAAACAGTAGTTCAGCTGAAAGTGTGGGATCTTTCTTCTTTGTCTTTTGCATGGTGATGCACAGTTATCCCCACCCAAACAGTCAGCACAGACCTACCCCATCCTGCAACTTCACCATTATTTACTGTCAGGTAAGCCTGAAGTGACAGGATTAACTCCTGCAGGGCCATGGACAAGCTCAGCTCCATCACTCAAAGCAGGCAGAAGGCAGAAGCTGAGTGGTTTTGAGTGACCCTAAGTTCCCCATGCCCCAAGGCACACACAGCTCCTTCCAGCTCCAAGGCAGCTTTCCCTCAAAGGACCAGGAGCTGGTCACTCAAAGGCTGGGCTGATGCTCATCCATGGCTTCACATCCAGTGCCCAGACCCATGTTCCTAAAGATCTTGCTGACAGCCCCACTGGGATGCCTCTGCCTAATTCCTACTCCAAACCCCACAAAGTACAGGGGTTCCCTTACCTTTGGGTGTCAGTGATGCACCACCAAGCCCAGGCCCAGCCTCCATACACGTACTGCTTCACATCAGAGCCACAGCAGCCACCTGCAGCACAGCAGAGCAGAGGGGTAGGAATTACACACACAGCCAGGGAAAAACCTGCACCCAGACTGAGTCATGAGCAAAACAACTTCCCAACAAGCCTCTGGTCCTGAGGAAAGGGCATCCTGGGGGGGGGAGTCGTCAGTCCCCCCAGCTCCTGGGAGCAGGGGAAGCACCTCAGCTACCAGTGCTCCCAACACAAGCTCTGCAACACAACCCAGAAGAATCAGGCATGTTTGCAGTGTCTGAGAAATAACGAAGACAGAAAAAACACTTCCCAAGATCCACAGCAGCCCTGGGATACCCCTTGGTCAACCATAGCACATCTCCTCACCTCCACGGGCTTCACGTGGCAATTTTCCAAAGGCAGCCTTTTTTTTTTTTTTTTTTTAATTGTCTTATACAATTGGAAAACAGTATTTGTAATAGTTCAGTATCCCAAAGAGTAACACACAGAAAGGGACAGTATTTCAAGCCAGTGCTTTATTTTAGTTTTGTTAAGCAGTTTAAGTCATTTTAGCAATGAGAGTCATTGTCAATTTATGCTTCAGTATCTTTAAGCCTGATGCACCAGCTCTGGCATGGAAAGCAATGTAAGAAATCCATTTCCTTTCCCTCACCCACACTGCAAACCACCCTTAAACCCACCAAAAAGCTAGCAGGTCAGTGCTGGAGGAGGGGAGAAACCTTGAGCTCCCCCAAAACATCTCCTAGCTGCAGCTCACACAAGTGCTGTGGTTCCTGAGGCTTTGATGGTCCATCACAGGGCTGGCTGTGCCCAGAGTTGGGGCAGATCAAGCTAGAGGCACCTCCCTAGGCTCTTGTCCACAGCCACACTTATCACAGCAATGCCTGAGCACCTTAAGCAAGGCAAGAGCTGTATCAACACAGCCAGAGACAGCTCCAGCCCTGCAGGATGTATCAACAAAGACAAGACAGAGGCAGCAGAGGGAAGAGCTGGCAGGGAAAGCGGCAGGAGCTCAGCACGTGGGAAGGGACAGGGAGGGCTGGGAAGTTGACAGCCACAGAAAACAGCTCTTGAAAGAGAACTTATGGTTATTGATTTCATTGCAACAGGTTCAAAAGAAAAAGCACCGGCAGACACATCAGGTCAGTGTGCCAGGAGTTCCCTTCTGGGTCACAGGAGGGGACTTGGTCCTCCTTATCCTCAAGTGTTCATCCATCTTCCAGTAGCAGCTAAAGATACCACCTGCTCCACTGGTTTTCACACAGTGCCTTTCATAAACCAGGAGATCAGCCCCATCACCAATTCTTCACCTTCCAACTTCAGCAGG